CCGTAGAATAATGCTTTTTACTATTTTTATGCACAATCTTATAACAGGTGATATCGATTCTGTAGAACTGGTAAACCGTTTAACTTTTAATGTTCCCGTTAGACTTAAATTGCCTTGATGTACATCAAATTTTTCTCTGCATGAGCCCTTTCGCGTTCCTTGTACAAATTATAACAATCTTTATCATTTAATTTGCACTTCAACATCTAACGCTATATTAACAAGAAAGGAAGTTAACTTCGGCCAGCCGAAGTATATATACCCTTGCAGGTATGCCTACCTAAAATGTTGTTTTTACATTGTCAAAAATCAAAAGCCTACTTTCTAAAAATTTTTTTCTATTATTTTGTTAATTATTCCTATGGCAGCCATAAGATATAGTGGTCCGATCCGGCTCGTTCCGACATATGTACTACCTGCAATAGAAAGAAGACTTTTGGGAAAGTTTCATCATCAGACGGACATGGCTAGATGGACTCGGCTATTGATGCTGATCAAGAATATATATACTTTATGTGGTCGGAAAAGTCTCCTTCACTGCGTCGCAAACATCTGACTGAAATTATAATACCCTCTGCAAGGGTATAAAAACCAAAATATTATCTCATTTGCTTCAATCTTAGTTTTTAGCCATTATAATCTTTATGTGTCCTGTCTCTATTTGTTTCATGTATTTTCCCCGCGAACTCGCATTTTTGCCCTAATTGATAAAGGGTCCCGCGCGTAACAAGCACGTGCTTGGTATCGTTGGGCCACTTGTTTGTACTGCTTGTACTTGTACTACAAAAACGGGGACAATATCAGGAAAAATGACCGAAATCGCCCTTCATCCCACAATGCGGCAATAGAGAAGAGGTTAGGGAAAACCAAATCCATACTTTCTAATACAAAATCTCATGGAACACATTTAGAAATGCGCGATGATCCGCGCAGAAATCAGTTCGAAAAACACGGGAGAAACTTTTCGGGTATTACGCGACGTGCGTGTGTTTATTTGGTCACTTTAAAGTAGGAACTACTTAAGCCTAGCTTATCTTAGAAGCTCCAGAGTGGAGCGGAGAGTTGCGGGAGAATTGGAGAGCGAAGGGCAGTGCGAGCGAGCGAGATGTGGACATCTGGAGAAAACTGCCGCTCGACACTGCCTCCCGAAATTAAACGCCCTTTTGGCGTGAACATTCTCCCCCCCCCCTTGCGACGACCACCGTAGCAAAGCATCAGGAGAAGTTTCCTTAGGATAGCGGAGGCGATGGTCCCAGTGTAGGAGAGTGTGTTGGTCCTGTCCACACTTTTGCCATCTGTGGTCGCTACGGCAAGATCCTTCGAAATGATGGTGGGCCAAACAATTTTTGCAGTATTGATAGAATTGTACTGCCTTATTGCGTTTCTCGGCAGAAAGCGGTGGCATTTCCGTAGAGGATGGATCTTGAGGCAGACTCGGCATGGGTAGGCTTTAATACCTCGAGAACGTCTGCGATCCAGGGCGGGATTTGGAACCCAATAGCTGGAAGTACTTGAATTGGAAGGACTTTCTGTAGAGGGGTCCGGAAGGACTTTGGAAATGTGAGCTGAAAAAGACGCAATCCTCTGAGGAATTGAGGCGGAACTGGTCCTGCAGGTTTGGATGGAACCGAAGTAATTGCGGAAGTGTTGCTTGGATGCAACAGCGTGTGATGCCGACTCTGGCAAGTAAAACAACGGCGAGTCCTTTGCAATCCTGCAATTTATGGCTCATTCATTTTTAGGAAGCGTGGACATATACGCACGGGGTGTTTTTCCTTTAAACACAGATCGCAGCCTTTGGGTATTGGAAGTACCCTCGTGGTATAAGAATTTATTCTTGGCAATTCTGCCATTTGATTTCTGTCTTTAGAATAAACTTGGAGGGAATTAACAGACCGGAATCAAGCTCGAGCCAAGTAGGAATTTCCGCTTTATTTTGGTTGGATTGCTCCCATAATGAGAGAGTCAGCTTTGGCAGTTTCGTAGAGCACATGTAAACGAGGAAAGGGTCCGAATTCTCAATGTTGATGCCGGAAAATTGTAAGGAGGTTCAATATTTGTGGTATTTGGATTTTGGAATTGATCATAGAAGCGATGTTGACTGTATTCGAAATAGTTGTTAAAGTTGTATGTATTTGAATAGTAGTCGGAGTGGACTGTATTTTGGAATATTTATGTTAAAATATATATGCGCAGCTGGAACACAGTCCAAAATGCAGAGTGCAATTTTTGGAAAACAATTTGAAAAAATCGGAAACTGTGGCTGGGTTATATTTTTTCACGCACTTGGAGTTTTTTTTGAATATATATTTATTTAACGGAATTTTTTGGAGTGTAAGAAATTTTTGGTATAAAGGAATGGAAGAAAAAATGGAGATATATATTAAATGCCGTTGCGTCGGACTTAGGGCCGGTTTTTTCGAGTCCCTGTCAATGTCCCTGATAGCTATCTTTTCGAAAAACTTAAAGACCAGATAAACTATTCGTAAAAGCAAATCCGCTTTCTCGACTGCTATATTTTATCTCAACGAGAAAGAATTACAGAGTGCTGTTAACGCACAGAATTTTGCTGTAAAGCGCTAAAAATGAAGTGCTCTCAGTTTTGAAGCTATCGGGATGAAACTTGCCCAAAAGACTTCCATCTCTTGCAGGTAGTATATAAGTCGGAACCGGCGGAATCGGAAAACCATAGCTTATGGCTCCCATACTAGGGTCGGTAGCCCGCAGCTTCGCCTGCGGAAATTAAAATTGAAAACTAAGCATATTTGGTTTTTATTTTACATTTTTTAGCCTATAAGCCGAGAAAATATTTTATCATAACTGTTTTCCCTAATTTCCGTAAAAACAACAGCAAATTGTCCTATACAAACTACTTAAGAAATATATAAAAACTTGCATATCAGCTGCACAGAACAGAAAAAATAAATTCATTTTTCGACACAAATCCTTACATTAATTTTTTTCATAACATTAGTACTTTGTCCAAAACATATTGTTTAAATATAGAATTTCATACTGGGTTGAGCATGTAATTAAATTCCAAATCGATTAGCGTGCAAATCTAAAAAAAAAACTAGTTTCTTAAAAAAAAGTAGAACAAAAAATTGCTAAAAGATAGATCTCTCTCGAAAAGATAGCTCTCGAACAACCAATAAGATAATTTTGGTTAAGATTTATGAAACTAGAGGGTACATTATTTATAGGTAACGAAAACGTAAATAAAAACCAAATACTCTTAGCGAATTAATAAACGGTGGCTTTTAAAAGGTATCCACAGTAGACAACTCTTATAAGGGAAACCAATATTTATGCGAAGCAATGGTTTGCTTTATGTATTTGACTAATTTAGAAAACAGCAATAAGATATTAATAATAGAAGATAAGGAAGGCAGACGAAAAGGGATGCCGTGAATCAAATTGTTTAAACATATCCATTTGTTTAAACAATATGATGCACGTGTAAGAAAGGGTAAGAGAATCAATTGATTTGAATATTGCGTTTTTTTAATACTTTCAATGCTATTTGCATTTTAAAACACAAAAATCTATAAAAAAATGTATTCGATCTGTTGTAGAAATGTAAATGCAATTTTTTGTATGCAAAAGGATATCAGTAATATCAATAATTTCAATTTAAGCGAATCTAACTTTCTTAGTCCGCTGCAATGCACACACACGCACATATCTAAGGATTGTGTTTATAAAAAACTCATTTTGTGGCTTTTATATGTTTCGTCCATGTGTGTGTGCAACGGAGCGAAATAACGTTTTTTACAAAACAACAATTCGTAAATATCTCATCGTTTGAAAGCTAATAAATAGTTTGCTGATCAGTTTTATGCATTATAAAAATAAAAGCAATTTTAAGGAAAATTTAAACTGTTAAATAAGGTCCACCGATATTTTAAAATTTAACGTTTACTTAAGAAAAAGGCGCAAAAGAAAAGATTTGCGATATAATCGATTTTTAAACCGCGCGTTTTAAACGTGTTATGAGTGTGGTAGTTTCGTTTTAAATGTTGGCTGTGGTATTTTTCCCTTGCGCGGTCACACTTAAAGTGCGACAGCAGGACATACATACATACATACATGCGCCAGCAGAACATACATACAAACATATGGGGAGGCCGTGACGTCACATCAGGTTAGTCAAATTTGAAAATATTGGGGACTTGGTTAAGGATGCTGAATCTCCAAAAAATTTAAATGCAGTTATTTGCGGGTATGCCAAAAGATTATGAACATCACATTGTTAAAGCGTTTTAAAAACATTTATAACAGAGAAATGGCAAAAGAAAGAATTAAAAAAAAAACAAATCGACTTTTGGGGCACTTTGGGGTCGTTTTTTGTTTTAATTTTTTCGTCACACTCTGCGCCTAATTATTTCCGAATTAATTTGATTTTACTGACCAAATTTTATCCCTAATAGGAATGATCTGCAAGGATATATAAGCTTCGGGTGACCGAAGCTAGCTTATTTTCTTGTTTAAAATTACCCTCTACTTTTGGGAATATTATTTTTAAAATATTTCTGAACACCGAATTAATTTTTTTTTAATCGGATTACTACATCATACAGCCGCCCTATAGCTTTGTTGATTTACATTACATTCTCTTTTTCTCTGGGATACAGCTTTTCATGAACTATTCCAAATTTCGAATTAAATTGATCAAAATTCGGATAATAAACTAAAATTTTTTTTGTTGTTACATATACGCAAGTAAATCTAAATTTAATATTTTGGTACGTTAATAGAAATGGGAATCTACTAGGGTATATAAACATCGGCTGGCCGAAGTTAGCGATACGTTTTTCTTAGTTTGCTTCATAGATAGTTTTAAGCAACACATATTCTTCTTTATCAAATAATTATGATTTTTATTTCACTCAAATTGATCTTTTAAGTAGCCGTTTATGAAAAAGAAAATTAAAAAGTTGTTTAAAATAAATAAAGTATGTTTACTAAGTAGTAAATTGTTTTCATAAGTTCATCATAAGTTTCAATCAATAGTTTTTTGAAATATATTTCCAGTTTTCAAATTTGACTCTATGAGATACTATTTTTACGGTTAAAATGCACGAATGTCTAAAATTGCGCAGAAGACATCTATAGCGACTCGTTACTCGTATTCATGCTAGGGCATTCATTCGTTACTGTGTTACTTATATTGGCTGTTGATTCCATATCAGTTTTTAGTCGTTTAAACTTTTCTAGACTTGGATCTGTAGCAGTGGTATCTGGCGAAGCGGGCCGCTTAATCGCACTCTGATCAGTATGAACGTCTGGAACTTTTTCAAATTCGGTTGGATGAATGGTTGCTTCTAGTTCTTGTAACTTTTTCTTGAACTTAACAATCACAGCAGTCATGTTGTCGCATCCAGTTCCATCACCCATTGTATTGGGTGCCAAACAGTTATCAAAAAGCTGGAAATGGCATGGTTATTATAGGAAAGTATTATATTAAATATTATATGGATCATCGTATTTTACTTTACCTCTTCACAAATGCTTGACAATTTCTTGCTTTCATCTTTTAATCTGAACCGTACAAAATCAACGACTTCCTTACTGGACATATAGTTCCATATACCATCACAGGCCAATACCATAAACTCATCCTCAGGCGTGATTATTAACTTCTTTATGTCAGGTAAAGCAGATATCATTTGTTCCTCAGCTGGCAGTTCAAGATTTGTTTTGTATGCGTGATCTCCCAGGGCTCGAGACAAATTTAAACCGCCATTTACACGGCCATCAAGAGTGACGCGACCACCGGCCCTAATAATACGCGAGGCTTCTTCTTCATCTTCAGGCTTGTGATCAAGACTCATTTCAATAGCTTTACCATTGCGGGATATAACACAACGAGAGTCTCCTGCATTTGCCACGTACAGATCTCGACCATGCAACAAGCATACAACAGCTGTACAGCCACTATCTTTGCCAGGCTCTTCTATCATATTTGCGCAAAAATTATCATTAGCCATCTGATCTTCATCCGTCTCTTCTTCGTCACTAGCCTCATTCCCCTAAAGATAATTAAATCCAGATTATTTAAATATTAAATTTTTTTAAACTTACATCGTCTTCATCGTCATTTTCAACACAGTCTTCAATGTCTTCATCTGAGCTTTCTGCGGATGAAATATCGGGACTCTCACCCAGATAATTTTCTTCATAGTCGGCATCATCGTCTGTAGACTCATCTTCTTGAGAATTACATTTTTTAAAAACTTTTTCAGATCCTTTGGTGGTAGATGAAATTGTTATTTCGTTTTTAGAGGATTGCCCATTCCGATTTATTTTGCTGATGTCGTTACGCTCAGATATGACTAATTTTTGTGATTCGGCGGTGTTGTCTTTCTCACTCTTGGGCTTCAAGGAAGTGACCACCTCGGTCTTAGAAATCTCATTACTTTCCTCGATTTGATCACTGCAAGACTCAATTTTAAATGGAACATTATTGACGCATGAATTGTTGATACTGCTCACAATTGTTTCATATTTGGGATCATGTATTGCCCTCTTTTCATAGCTAGGGCCAAGATGGTCAACTACACCTAAGGCGGTCACAACAGCTGCAGCCGCTGCTGAAGTGGAAGAGCCTTCTGGCTTAGCTGTGGGGTCCATTACAGCTTTATTTGCAGCTTCGGCAGCTAAAGCTGCAGCTCGACGGCCACGCAAATAAGGTGAAAGCATTTTCAAATTCGCTTCGTTTCCCGATTTCATAATGAACAAATCGTGAGTCTGCGGAAGGCCTTTGTATTTTTCCAAAACTTCGTTTAGTGGCAAGTTGCTCTCCTCTTGCAACTCGGCTAAATCTTCATCATCTTCGTAATCTTCCGGATCAGCATCTACGAAGTTATGTTCGCCGGCCAATATTTTTAGTATACCGACTATGGTTGGATCAAGCAGAGTTTTATCAAATTCCAAAAATGCATTTTTAAGTGCCACTTCATGTTGTCCATTTTTATAAGCTTCAAGGTTTTTGAGAAACTCAGGTAACTTATCGGCACAATATTGGGCTACCTCAGCTCCGCCGTGTCCATCATACACAGCAAAAAACGATGTATTATTGTCAAAATTTAAAATAGAATTGTGAGCATCCTAAAAAAGTTCACCAATCACTTAATTAAATATTATTAACGTAGGAAATATTTATTTTTTTACCTCTTGACTGTTCCGCCATCCCTGCATTGAGCTAGCTCCAACAGCAAGCAGCTCATTAAATTCATCTGTAGACGCTTTATCCGTCTTAGGCTGCGACAAATAGGCTCCCATGTTGCACAAATAATTATTTTTTCCTATGTATTATATGAGGTTAAAAACTACAATAAGTAGAGCTCCGTGTTCCAGTTAAGGTTTATTATGCGGAAATTGATGTCTTACCAACGCAAGCGTAAAAATATAGATTGGTTTTTGCCGGTTATATTATGGTTGCTTCCATTGGCTGCAATTTTTTTTATCGTTATTAATATATAATAAATTGTTTAATTTAAAAACAACTTCACTAGTTAGAGTCAATAATATTTTTAATTTGTAAATAGAACTACGGTTTCCTTTACTTTTTATACCAAACCAAATTGAATTGTAATATCTCAACCCTCAGTCGCTCTGTATACGAGCAAAAAGAAATTTATCTATCTTCTATATATATACAGATACCGGCGGGAATATTTAGGTAATATGGTATATGTTTCTTGTACACTGTTTCGGTAATAAGGTTTTCCAACATTAAATATTTAATGTTGAATGTGCGTCTAATAAACTCTTCCCACAGTTTTTTCCTCTTGGAATCAGTTGGGATTTTTGACAAAAGTAAAACTCCGATCCCCACAGGCCACATCATCCACTCACCATACAAATTGACGTGACAGCAGTTGCTGTCAGCAATACGAGCACCGGAGAGCACTTCTGTTGCTTCTCTCTTTCCACGGGAGAGCACGAATATTGCTTTCCCTTACTTTCACGTTGCGCTGTTGTTGCTTGATGCACCGTTGCTACACTAAAATCGTTGTCTTTACTAGTAGGTCTTGTAAATATAAGAATTTTATTTGACCTCTTTGTAAAGAATTGTTGGAGCAATATGAGAATATTTTTTTTTATTCTGAAACCGCGTGTATTCTCTCATAAAGAACTTTTTAAATTTTAAAATCTGTTAAAAATACTTTATTTTAAGTTTAACTATTTAAAAAATATTTTTCTGAAAGATATTAAGAAATCCCAGAAAGTTGCATACCAAATATTAAAATAAATCAAACGGCTTGTAGATGCTGAAAACATTTAAAATCGGAGCTTAATTCTAAAAAGATTAAAAAAACGGTAAAAGACACAAAAACAAAGGATCGGTATGTCACATTCCTCTATCGAAAAAAAATTTTAATTTTTTGAGATTTAACCGCAAAATGCTTGTCACGTTTCACATGGAATGAGCCGATATCAATAAAATCTTATGTTCGAAAATCAAGGCTTCCTATAGAATGCGAGTCAACATGTATGTTTCTCTGTGTACTTTTAGTGAACGTATTAAACTTCTTGATTTTAGAGGTTGCCATAACTTATTTGAAATTTTACAACATTTAGGAGTAGATAATACAACCAAAAATTAACGATTTTATTGGTATATTAAATCCAATAAAATAATCTCATGAAAACGATTTTAACCGAAATTTAAACATACAGTGGACAGCAGATACCAAAAATTAAAAAAAAAAGTTGTTTCAATTAGGATTTAATTTTAGGAATTAGTTTGCCAGCAGGGAAATCGTGCTAATTTTTGGATTTTTAACTTTGGCGTTAAATTTCAAAGACATGGGCAATGGTTGCTAAGGGGCTGTCCATATATTACGTAATCACCTAGGGGGGGGAGAAGGTCATTGAAATGATTATTTTTGATTACATGGGGAGGGGTGGTCTTGCACAATGATTACGTAATCATATTATATGCATTTTTTTATTTAAAGAATTTATTTAAAAACTTTTTTCCTTTATTTATATCTACAAACTTAGATAGGAAAGCAGAGAAAAAATTTTTGTATTGGCTGGGTGGCGAAAAAGAGAATGTTTAGTGGTTCAATCACACGAAGGACGCGAAGACCTGAAATGGCTTGACGAAGAGTATGTTGGAGATAATATCAGCGTAGACGAACCGAATGTGTCATACCAAACTTCATTTATAAACAATATTAAAGATTGGGTTGCATCTCCGTTTGAATACACAGATTAAAACAAAAAAATTCTAATCTTGGGATTACGTAATCATTGGGGGGGGGTGTTTATTGAATGATTACGTTTGATCACCAGGGGGGGAGGGGGTCAAAAATCACCAGAAACGTGATTACGTAATATATGGACAGCCCCTAAGGTGGATTAATTTTTAGAGATGCCGTGATGTTATGAGAGCAGATTTCAACAAAAAGAATTAAGATAAATCAAATTATAAAGGCCAAATTAAATGTGTTATTAGCTTTACCGCGAGTCCATTAGATCATGGAAAATAAGTTTGTATGGGATATATAACCAAGAGCACTTAAATATCATGGAAAGGATTTAAAATGCTGAAAAAAAAGAAGAAGAATGTAAAGAAACTTTCTTATACCCCATTCCCACAGAGCACTATCACACTTCCCCATCTCGTTGAATTTTCTCTTCATAGGAATTTTCTCTTACAACATTTTCCCAGTTTGTCCCCCAGCCATAACTATTGTTCTTAAACCGACCGTTTGTAGACGATATTTTGTCGATAGCAGAGATCGCAAATAAGAGTTAACTTATTAAAAAAATTGACAAATAAATCTAATTTTTCAATTTTTATTATAAAAGTTGACAAATAACTCTTATGCTTCAATTTTTATTGTAAAAATCAACAAAAAAGAGTTATTTACCTACCAGACATTTTTGGGGGTAGAATGTTCAAGGGGAATGAAGAAGTCAATCTTTCCATTGTTGGTGGATTAGAGCTGGAAAATCATCGATGTTTACCAACATCGATGTATCGATACATCGAATCTTTTGGTCTAATTTAAAAAAATGTGTTTAATCCATTATAAAAAGTTACGCTATATTTGAAATCAATTCTTTTTATTTTATAAATATTTAAACTTAAACTAAATTCAAGCAAAAGTAAAAAACAATCGAGTTTTACACAAAAAAAAAAACACAAAAGAACAAATTTTGTCGAAATCTACAATATTTGTATCGTATATTTTACTATTATTCTCTTAATTGATCAAAAATGCGTTCCTTGCGAAGTAGTGATGGATGAAGAGGAAACATCGAACATCGATGTTTGGAAACCTCGATGTTTCGATGTTTTGGAAAACATCGTTGTATCGATACATCGCCGATGTTATTTTCAGCTCTATGGTGGATCGCCTGGGGGCTAAACACAAGAAAATCGGGTGGCGAAATTGCTATTTTTTTTGCATTGCTATTGCCATTGCAATTGCTTTGAGATATTTCCCGAAGTTTATCGCTAATTAGGTTTTCAGCTAGGTCTTTACATATTGTCGGGAAACATTGAACTTTATGGGCTAGGACATCTTTATAGAGAATTCTTCCTAGCTTCGCGCAAGTCCACAGTGTTGTTCTGCCGAGGATCAATTAGGAGAGAATGCTTACACGCTGTCCAGTTCAACCTTCCGATGTCGTATGCTTCCGTTTTCCTACTGTTTTTTGTTATTATTATATTAGTTCTTTCATATATATTGAAGTTTATAATGAGAATGTCAATAATTACTTCGGTGTCTGGGAAAACTATCGACAAAATATCGACTAGAAACGGTCGGCTTAGGAACAATAGTTTGGATGGGGGACTAACTGGGAAAATTTTGGAACAGAAAAATCCTATGAAACATCCGACAAAAAAGATGGGGGAGGTTGGTGGTGCTCTGTGTGGATAGGGTATTAAGAATGAAGGTGAAAGTGAAACAGGCTTTAAAATTTCGGGACAAAAACCAGATTGCACTTATTGTATTTTAATACCAAATGAAATGTTATATTTACATTGTTGTGTCTAAGTTTTTATAATCCCAGTTGTTTTTCGCATAAGGGACTTTAAAACCTAGTACTCAGTTCGTCTAAGAGTTTCACTAGTCGAAAAAGTTTTCAGAGTTCACCCGCTTTGCAAACAAATCAAATGGCGTCAATTTTAAAATATTACTATATGTTAAGTCGACCTGGGTCGCAAGTAGAGCTGGCAAAACATCGATAGTGACGCTATCGATGTTTTCGAGGTTTTCTTTCGGAAACCATCGATACTATCACGATAGTATCGAATTAAACAAATTTGGTCATATAGAGGCTATTCCTTTCTTAGAAAGCTAAAATAATAAGGGCGTTCTTTATAAATTAGTTTACAATTTTAATAAATTTAGAATTATAGTTATTGTGTTATCTATTTTTCCATTTCGTTTTTCTTTTGTCAAACTTAATCAATTTAAAAGTAAATAAAAACAAGAAAGGAAGCTACCTTCGGCCAGCCGAAGCTTATATACCCTTGTAGATAAAAGAATGTTTACTCGGTGCAGTTCCAGGGATTCCAGATTCAGCGTTTCTAATTCTTTAAATTTTGTTTTTAAGTAGTCAAGAATCAAAACGCCTACTTCCTACAAAGTTACAATGAATTTTCTTATATTTGTTTGAATATTCCTATGTGAGCCTTAAGATATAGTGGTCCGATCCGGCTCGCTCCGACATATGTACTACCTGCAATAGAAAGAAGACTTTCGGGAAAGTTTCATCGCGATAGCTTTAAAACTGAGAGACTAGTTCGCATAGAAACGGACAGACGGACAGACGGACATGGCTAGATAGACTCGGCTATTGGTGCTGATCAAGAATATATATACTTTATGTTGTCGGAAACGTCTCCTTCACTGCGTTGCAAACATCTGAGTGAAATTATAATACCCTCTACAAGGGTATAATAAAAAGAATATTCAAAAAACATAAAAACAAAGAAGCGGTCCAGCCGCTATAATTGAGATCAACCTTAAATTTAAACATTATAATCGGAAATCCACAAATTTTTGTTTAAGAAAATAAGTAAAAGCTTTTATATACTTGAACATCCTTACTGATTAAGGTGTTCCTGACGGGCACCGCTGTAGAACCACAAATTACTTTCCACTGTCTAAAGAAAACCAAGGTTTAATGTAAATATTATAATACAAATATTACAATTTTTCTCAACGTTTAGCTGTAGCGAAAACACAAAAAAAAGTAGTGGTGTGCATATGACGACGATAATATCGTGATAGTTTTCAAAACATCGATGGAGCAAGCTGGCTGCTAACCATCGATATTATCGATAGTGCCATCGATAGTTTGCCAGCTCTAGTCGCAAGCCTTAAAGTTGCTGTTAGCATGGCGATGTGTATTGCCGCAACTTCTACGACAGTTTTCCTTTGGTTTTTGGCGTTTTCCTTCCATTTACAATTTGTTATTGGCACACCGCTTCTGCACAAACACAGCCAAAGGTCAAATTTTTTATTCTTTGGGTCGCGGCTAAAGTCTAGTACTCAGTACGACGAAAACTGCTAGCTAAGCATAGGAGTAAGCGAGAGGCAAATAGGTAGCTAAAGCCTTTAGCCGGGGACTTTTTTCACCGCGGTACTCAGTTGAGCTAAGGAAATGGTAAGGAAATACCAAAAAAATACCAGAT